AGCCCTTCGGAACCTCACCAACCTCTTAAGCTTTCAGAAAAGGTTCCAAGGGCCCCCCGCTGTAGCTGGTGCTGGTAAGATGATTTATTTACCCTGGCCTGTTTTTACTGTGCTCAGATAGCTTCACCATACTGTATCTGCATATCCATTTCTTACCATACAGGTGGTAAAAGGGTGGCAAAAAAAGGCGGTGGGTTCTGCATTTTTACTGCCAACCCGACTCCTTATCTAACTCCTAACATTGCATCCGGACAGTATAGTACACGTTTTTTATACAGGATTTATATAGCGCCAACAATTTGTGCAGCGCTTTACAATATAAAGGAGGACAGTATATTTCAATACAGTTCAATACAGAAGGAATAGGAGGGCCTTGCTTGTGGAGCTTACAATCTAAAGGGAGGGGGAGGTGGTAGGAAAGGTAATAGCTGCGGGGGAATATCTGATGGAGGCGACTCTAGTACAGTTTTTAAGTAGAGGTGGGAAAGGCAAAATAAAGGGAAAGGGTCACCTAATGCAGGCCATAGACAGGGAGAAAAACGGCCGATTTTTCTTTAAAAAAAACGAAAAATCGGTCGTTCAAGCGGCTGACGTTACCAGCAATGGTAAAAAAAAATCGGCCGATTTTCATTCCGTCTACAGCCGGCAAAAAGTGTCCCTGCAGAGAGCTCTGCTATTTCTTTGACAGTTCTTTGACATTTATAGCGGTTGCAAACAATGTATCTATTTGTATCCATTTAGGATACAGATGTTTTTATTTGGAAACAAATAGATACAATGTTGCAACCGCTGTAAATGTCAAGGAACTGTCAAAGAAATAGCGGAGCTCTCTGCAGGGACACTTTTTGCCGGACTGGAATTCCTCTTATTTTTCATCCTCTTCCTCTTCTCTTCTTCCTCTTCCTCTTCCTCCTCTTCTTCCTCTTCCTCTTCCTCTTCTTCTTCCTCCCCCCCTCCTCCTCTCCTCCTCCTCCTCCTCCTCCCTCCTCCTCCCTCCTCCTCCCTCCCCCCTCCCTCCTCCCCCCCCCTTTTCCCTCCTCCTCCCTCCTCCTTCTTCTTTCTTTTTGTCTTCCTCTTGCAGGTCACTGCTCATGCGCAGATTTTTTTTTTTTATCGGTAAAAAAATCGGCCGATTTGCCCATCATTGCCGCGAAAATCGGCCGATTTTTTTTTTTTTTTTTTTTTTTTTTTTTTCCCAACTTTAGCCGATAAAAAAAATCTTCCAAAATACCGAAAAACGGCCGAACAAATAGCCCACTAACGATCTGAAAATCGGCCAATTTTATTTTCGGCCGAAAAATCGGCCGATTTTCGACCCATCTATGGCCTGCATAAAAGTTAAATAAATAATCTCTTCTAAATGGAATCATAAATTTTAGCACAAGTATTTCTCTAAGGCCTGGTTCACACCTACGCATTTTTAGGCTTCATACACACAGGGAGTATCTGCAGCCACTTTTAGGGGCACAAGCATTTTTTTTTTCTTTTATACAGCTTCCAAACACCCCTCCAGGTTATCCTAATGCCGGCCATGCATGGGTTGAAATTCGACCGATTTTTTTTTTTTTTTTGTCCGGACCTAAGAATAATCGGCCGGTTTTCGCTCTGTTAGTGGATCAATGGCACCGGCAGATTTTCGTGGTTCCTCCCTTTTCGGCTATCGGACATGTTGGAAAATTTGTGAAAGACCGATTTTTTCGACTCGATGGTCAAATCGTACGACCGTTTTTCCGAAAAGAATATGCGCATGAGCCGTGACCTGGAAGGAACAGATGTTTCGCCTGTTATATGGGGTGAACTTTATGACTTGGTCGGCCGATTTTAGAAATCATTGATGGCGCACCATCGGATTACCGAGTGAACAATGTTTTCGATTTTAGGACGAAAAATTGTTGGAATTCAAACCATGTATGGCCTGCATAAGGCTAGGTAGACACCTATGCAGTTTGCGTTTGATTAGTTTCTGCAGTGCTTTTTTGCTGTGCGTTTTTTGTGTTTTTGATGCGTTTTGGGAGGAATAGTGCCCCATCATTGGTATCAGTGGGAGGAATAGTGCCCCATCATTGGTATCAGTGGGAGGAATAGTGCCCCATCATTGGTATCAGTGGGAGGAATAGTGCCCCATCATTGGTATCAGTGGGAGGAATAGTGCCCCCATCATTGGTATCAGTGGGAGGAATAGTGCCCCATCATTGGTATCAGTGGGAGGAATAGTGTCCCATCATTGGTATCGGTGGAGGAATAGTGCCCCATCATTGGTATCGGTGGAGGAATAGTGCCCCATCATTGGTATCGTGGAGGAATAGTGCCCCATCATTGGTGTCAGTGGGAGGAATAGTGCCCCATCATTGGTATCAGTGGGAGGAATAGTGCCCCATCATTGGTATCAGTGGGAGGAATAGTGCCCCATCATTGGTGTCAGTGGAGGAATAGTGCCCCATCATTGGTATCATTGGGAGGAATAGTGCCCCATCATTGGTGTCAGTGGGAGGAATAGTGCCCCATCATTGGTATCAGTGGGAGGAATAGTGCCCCATCATTGGTATTAGGGGGGGAATAGTGTCCCGTCATTGGTATCAGTGGGAGGAATAGTGCCCCATCATTGGTATCAGTGGGAGGAATAGTGCCCCATCATTGGTATCAGTGGGAGGAATAGTGCCCCATCATTGGTATCAGTGGGAGGAATAGTGCCCCATCATTGGTATCAGTGGGAGGAATAGTGTCCCATCATTGGTATCAGTGGGAGGAATAGTGCCCCATCATTGTTGTCACGGGGAGGAATAGTGCCCCATCATTGGTATCATTGGGAGGAATAGTGCCCCATCATTGGTATCAATGGGAGGAATAGTGCCCCATCATTGGTATCAGTGGGAGGAATAGTGCCCCATCATTGTTGTCACGGGAGGAATAGTGCCCCATCATTGGTATCATTGGGAGGAATAGTGCCCCATCATTGTTGTCACGGGGAGGAATAGTGCCCCATCATTGGTATCAATGGGAGGAATAGTGCCCCATCATTGGTATCAGTGGGAGGAATAGTGCCCCATCATTGGTATCAATGGGAGGAATAGTGCCCCATCGTTGGTATCAATGGGAGGAATAGTGCCCCATCATTGGTATCAGTGGAGGAATAGTGCCCCATCATTGGTATTAGTGGAGGAATAGTGTCCCGTCATTGGTATCATTGGGAGGAATAGTGCCCCATCATTGGTGTCAGTGGGAGGAGTAGTGCCCCATCATTGGTATCAGTGGGAGGAATAGTGCCCCGTCATTGGTGTCAGCGGGAGGAATAGTGCCCCATCGTTGGTGTCAGCGGGAGGAATAGTGCCCCATCGTTGGTGTCAGCGGGAGGAATAGTGCCCCATCGTTGGTGTCAGCGGGAGGAATAGTGCCCCATCGTTGGTGTCAGCGGGAGGAATAGTGCCCCATCGTTGGTGTCAGCGGGAGGAATAGTGCCCCATCGTTTGGTGTCAGCGGGAGGAATAGTGCCCCATCGTTGGTGTCAGCGGGAGGAATAGTGCCCATCGTTGGTATAAGTATGAGGAACAGTGCCCCATCATTTGTGTCAGCGGGAGGAATTCATGAAAGACCGATTTGTGACTCAATGATGGTCAAATCATACGATCGTTTTTCTGAAAAGAATATGCGCATGAGCCGTGACCTGGAAGGAACAGAAGTTTCGCCAGTTCTGTGGGGTGAACTTTATGACTTGGTCGGCCGATTTTCAAAATCATTGATGGCACCATCGATTACCGAGCAAACGACGTTTTTCGATTTTCGGATGGAAAATTGTTTGGAATTCGATCCCTTCATAAGTGTCTGTGCAAACAGACTTCTGTAAGCTTTTGGTGGCGGGGGCTTTTAGGAGCAGTAAAAAACCCCACTGCTAGTGCGTGCAGACGCAGCATCATTTTGGCAGAAGAAATGCATTTGTAAATGCATCTAAGCACGTGAACACTAGGCGCGGTTAGTGCACTTTAGCGTTCATTCATTTCAATGGCCAGAATAAATAGGTGCGTTTAAACATGTCAAGTTCTTAAACGCTTGTAAAAGCATTAAACACAAACGTCAAGCAGTTTTTTTTGCCGATGAAGCTGCTGCCAAGAGGAGCATCGGTTTTATAATGCCCTGTGTACATGAGGCATTGCTGCATTCTGCACAAACACTCTACAGTCCATTCAACATGTTTCCCTAAGGGACACGTTCACATCTATGTGTCTTCAACTACTACGTTTTTGGAAAGGGTCAGGGATTGCATTTTTACTACATCAATGGAACTGCACCAAAAATGCAAGTGTTGGGTTTTTGATACATTTTTACATTTTTTTTTTTTTTTTCGGTCAATAGGAAACTATTGAGCGATTTTTCACTCTCTGGCACTCAAGTCACATCAAAGTTGCATCAAAGTAGTGCAGGATTTTCTAAGAGTGCCAGAGAGTGCAAAATTGCATCAAAGTCACACTCAATACTTTCCTATTGGCAAAAAAAAATGCAAAACATGTCAAGAACATGTGTTCAAAAACACGCTGAAAACAACACATCAATCGCAACACGCATAGGTGTGAACCAGGCTTAATGAATGGCTGCCTCAAAAGTCAACGTTAAAGAGATGGCATTTGTTTTTGAATTTGCGTTTATTTGTTTTCCTTCAGCTGTTTTGCTTTATCTATATAATTGTGTTCATCTATTCAATTCAGAGAACAATAATGTGAGCGTCGGCGACAAAGCTGGTGCAGAAGACAAAGAGGAGGTCATCCGGAAATTGGTGGCCTTACTGCAGGAACAGGCTGTTGTTATCAATGAGAAGGTAAGAGGAAATACAGGGATCATACCTCCTGAATCGGCCCAATTTCATTCTATGTATGGCCTACTTAAAGAATGTGTAAACCCAACACTTCTTATTCCTGATGTGTGCCGGCTGTATCATGTACTTGTATGAAATGGTATCCTGTTCTTTTTGTATTGCTTCCTTTGTATTAACGTGTTACTAAACCCAGGACCCTGCATTCACTATATCTATTCTCGCTCTGGACCCTGCATTCACTATATCCGGTCTCCCCGGACCCTGCATTCACTATATCCGATCTCCCCGGACCCTGCATTCACTATATCCGATCTCCCCCGGACCCCGCATTCACTATATCCGATCTCCCCGGGACCCCGCATTCGCTATATCCGCTCTCCCCGGACCCCGCATTCGCTATATCCGCTCTCCCCCGGACCCCGCATTCGCTATAATCCGCTCTCCCCGGGACCCCGCATTCGCTATATCCGCCCATCCTCCCGGACCCCGCATTCGCTATATCCGCTCTCCCCGGACCCCGCATTCGCTATATCCGCTCTCCCCCGGACCCCGCATTCGCTATATCCGCTCTCCCCGGACCCCGCATTCGCTATATCCGCTCTCCCCGGACCCCGCATTCGCTATATCCGCTCTCCCCGGACCCCGCATTCGCTATATCCGCTCTCCCCGGACCCCGCATTCGCTATATCCCTCTCTCCCCGGACCCCGCATTCGCTATATATCCGCTCTCCCCGGACCCCGCATTCGCTATATCCGCTCTCCCCGGACCCCGCATTCGCTATATCCGCTCTCCCCGGACCCCGCATTCGCTATATCCGCTCTCCCCCGGACCCCGCATTCGCTATATCCGCTCTCCCCGGACCCCGCATTCGCTATATCCGCTCTCCCCGGACCCCGCATTCGCTATATCCGCTCTCCCCCGGACCCCGCATTCGCTATATCCGCTCTCCCCGGACCCCGCATTCGCTATATCCGCTCTCCCCGACCCCGCATTCGCTATATCCTCTCTCCCCGGACCCCGCATTCGCTATATCCGCTCTCCCCGGACCCCGCATTCGCTATATCCGCTCTCCCCCCGGACCCCGCATTCGCTATATCCGCTCTCCCCGGACCCCGCATTCGCTATATCCGCTCTCCCCGGACCCCGCATTCGCTATATCCGCTCTCCCCGGACCCCGCATTCGCTATATCCGCTCGCTCTCCCCGGACCCCGCATTCGCTATATCCGCTCTCCCCGGACCCCGCATTCGCTATATCCGCTCTCCCCGGACCCCGCATTCGCTATCGCTATAATCCGCATTTCGCTCCGCTCTCCCGGACCCCGCATTCGCTATATCCGCTCTCCCCGGACCCCGCATTCGCTATATCCGCTCTCCCGGACCCCGCATATCGCTATATCCGCTCTCCCGGACCCCGCATTCGCTATATCCGCTCTCCCCGGACCCCGCATTCGCTATATCCGCTCTCCCCGGACCCCGCATTCGCTATATCCGCTCTCCCCGGACCCCGCATTCGCTATATCCGCTCTCCCGGACCCCGCATTCGCTATATCCGCTCTCCCCGGACCCCGCATTCGCTATATCCGCTCTCCCCGGACCCCGCATTCGCTATATCCGCTCTCCCCGGACCCCGCATTCGCTATATCCGCTCTCCCCGGACCCCCCGCATTCGCTATATCCGCTCTCCCCCGGACCCCGCATTCGCTATATCCGCTCTCCCCGGACCCCGCATTCGCTATATCCGCTCTCCCCGGACCCCGCATTCGCTATATCCGCTCTCCCCCGGACCCCGCATTCGCTATATCCGCTCTCCCCCGGACCCCGCATTCGCTATATCCGCTCTCCCCGGACCCCGCATTCGCTATATCCGCTCTCCCCGGACCCCCGCATTCGCTATATCCGCTCTCCCCGGACCCCGCATTCGCTATATCCGCTCTCCCCCCAGGACCCCGCATTCGCTATATCCGCTCGTCTGTTCTCCCACAGTACAGAGAACATGGAGATGTAATTAGTTTAGTAAATATAAACTCCTAAATCCCTTTTCTCATCAACAGCTGTATATAAGTCTTGTGACTTCTGGCAGTGTCCAGCAGAACACTGGTTAAAGCTAATAGGAGCTGCATGACCCCTCACCCTCTGTCTGGACAGTGCTGAATGGCCCTGTGCTCATCACATGCACCCTCCACCCCCCCCCCCCAAACAAAAAAAAAAAACTCTAGCAATACACACTAAACTGTGCATGTGCAGAGTGACTCCTAGAGCTCTGTACTATCATCAGATTGGATTGAGTATGCAGAAGAAGGGGAGGATCAGAGAAGACAAGATCAAACAGCCTTTTTACACAATGTAGGGGCTTAATCTCTTATATTTGTGTGTGTGTGTGTGTATATTTATATATGTGTGTGTGTGTGTGTGTGTGTGTGTGTATATGTATATATGTGTGTGTGTGTGTATATATATATATATATATATATGTATATGTATATATATATATATATGTGTGTGTATATAATTATATATATATAATTATTCATGTGAAAATGATACACGGAATATTCTTTTTTCACAGTAGTGTTTCTTTAGGTCTCGCTATTCCTCCACAACCATCAATCAGATTTAATCTTGGTTTACCTTCTGCATAGACTGTATGAAGGTGAAAACCCGTCCGCCTCTACAATTACTTTAACTATAGATCCAAGTTTCAAGTCCGTTTATCATTTTTTTTAGCAAAAGGTGAACTTATCCTTCAAGCAAATCAAGTGGAGGTGTTTGCCTGAAGCATCCCGTCTTCTCCCAGCTGCCATGTTTCTATATCGGGTCATTGACCATCTGAGTGCTGCATGAGTAATGTTCCAAGCCCGCGCTTCTTATGGGTAGCCGCTGACTCCTCACCTCTGATGGTATTGTGCCGTACTCCTCCCCATTGTAATGACTTGGCCTATTCTTTTTATAGAGATGTGAGGCCCAGGGGCTGCAGCTGCATTGTCTTCAGGGCGGAAGCATCATTTACATCTAAACAAATGCAAATTCCTGCTACTATAGGTCTTACAATGACCTTTTCTGGGACGGAGGTTTAGCTTTTTGATGAAAGCAGAAAAATAGTTATGCAGAGAAGCAGCATGTCCATAAGTGTAGCTCAGCAAGGGGTGCAAGACCAGTTGTGAATTTGCATTCCAGCAAGTGTGCTGGAATGCAAACAAAAAATGCAAACTTACTGAGCATCACAGTGGGACTCCAGGGAAACTGCCTAGAGCAGTGGTGGCAAATCTATGGCCAAGTCACCCCAGCAGCCAAGCATCCGATAACAGCGCACATAGGGGTCATGCGCAAGTTTGGAAAGGAGTAGCAGCGCTGGGCGATGACGCCACGAGCCGCAACTCATCCGAGCTTTCGCATGGCTGGTCAGTGTGCTGCCAATGATATATATATTAGGCTGGCTGTGTGTTTTTAATACATTAGTTGTTTATTAACACAAGGTTTTATCTGTGCTGGTGGTCAGGGGAACTGTGCCTCCTTGTGCTGGTGGTCAGGGAAACTTTGCCCCCTTGTGCTGGTGGTCAGGGGAACTTTGCCCCCTTGTGCTGGTGGTCAGGGGAACTTTGCCCCCTTGTGCTGGTGGTCAGGGGAACTTTGCCCCCTTGTGCTGGTGGTCGGGGGAACTTTGCCCCCTTGTGCTGGTGGTCGGGGGAACTTTGCCCCCTTGTGCTGGTGGTCGGGGGAACTTTGCCCCCTTGGCTGGTGGTCGGGGGAACTTTGCCCCCTTGTGCTGGTGGTCGGGGGAACTTTGCCCCCTTGTGCTGGTGGTCGGGGGGGAACTTTGCCCCCTTGTGCTGGTGGTCGGGGGAACTTTGCCCCCTTGTGCTGGTGGTCGGGGGGAACTTTGCCCCCTTGTGCTGGTGGTCGGGGAACTTTGCCCCCTTGTGCTGGTGGTCGGGGGAACTTTGCCCCCTTGTGCTGGTGGTCAGGGGAACTTTGCCCCCTTGTGCTGGTGGTCGGGGGAACTTTGCCCCCTTGTGCTGGTGGTCGGGGGAACTGTGCCCCCTTGTGCTGGTGGTCGGGGGAACTGTGCCCCCTTGTGCTGGTGGTCGGGGGAACTGTGCCCCCTTGTGCTGGTGGTCGGGGGAACTGTGCCCCCTTGTGCTGGTGGTCGGGGGAACTGTTGCCCCCTTGTGCTGGTGGTCGGGGGAACTGTGCCCCCTTGTGCTGGTGGTCGGGGGAACTGTGCCCCCTTGTGCTGGTGGTCGGGGGAACTTTGCCCCCTTTCCTGCCAGCAGAACACAATGATCACTGCTGGCGGCTGGCTGGTTCTACTGATGTCAATCGATTAGTTTCAGTACAACCAGCCTGCCCATAGATCGATTGAATCCTGGCTGGTCCTTGCTGAACCTCCCAAGATTAGATCCATCTATTGCAGGCTTTTGGTTTTTGGAGAACCAGCAGACACCACTGCATACATTTTGCCAGAGAAAAGAAGTATGCAGACCAACAGATACAATGGAAAACATTGTTAGTTTTTGTTTTCTCCATGATCAGCCCATGCTGAAGTTGTCTGCAGCCCTCTAGCCCTTTCCACAGTCTGAACACAAACAATGGGCGACCATTCATGTTTAGAGACCTAGCAGTTGGAGACCTAGCTTGCTCTGCCCCTGATCTGGACTTGAGGCCACCATATTGGTGTACAATAAAATCCGAGACTCTTTAACTTGATAGTTTTGTTTCTGTTGTTCCAGAAATCCTATTGGACCCAGGCACTGGTGTAGCGTCGGGTCGTAATGTTGACTCTGCCCCATGCTCCAGGGGGCTGTGTGGCCTCCCTGTCACATTCTGATTTACACTTTGACATGAGGGGCGGTGGGAGCTGAATATACAGGAATCGATCCTCTCCATTCTCCTCCTGCAGCCACGGAAAGCCGGCTTCTCCCCTTCTCTCCCGGCTTTCATCAACTGCAGGAGGAAAATGTTCATTATGTTATTCAAATTTTAAAAAAAAATAAGATTCTGAAACCATTTAATTTTTATTGTGGCCTGTGACTGGTTACCAAATCGCTTAAGTGGCCCCTGCTCTTCAAACGGTTGAGGACCTCAGGTGTATGGCCATTTTTAGATTACAGAATTGGATGCAGACGTTACTGGTGCCAGTGAAGGGATGGAGGCTGATCAACTGACCCCAGGAGGCCAATGTTACGGAATGGCCTCAGCCGCTGTTCTGGCCATGTCCACTGACGCATTTGGCTTCACCTACCGGAGCTTGGTCACAGAAGTGGGCGGAGTGAATCGCGTTAGTGGCCAGAATGGTGGCTGAGACCATTCCATAGGCTCCCTGGAGTTATTCCCGAGTGTAGCTCGGGGCAGGGGCGGACTGACAACTCATGGGGCCCCCGGGCAATAGGGGATCATGGGGCCCCTGTGTCCTTGCCCAAACTCAAAAAAGCCTATGAAAAAGGTACCAGGGGCATCTTATGGGGCCCCTTACTGACCCTGGGCCCTTGGGCAGTGCCCGAGTTTCCAAATGGTCAGTCCGCCCCTGGCTCGGTGTAAAGTTTCAGTA